GGAAAGTCACAGATAAGAAAAACACATCCAGAATGCCAAGCCTCACCAGGATGGCATTCACTCCAGGTCCTCCTGCAGGACCACCCCAATCGTAGTCAGGAAACCACCAGACCTACTCATAGGTATAATCAGGGTGTTATACCTTTTGTTCATATTGAACATATTGTACTATTGTTATTTTTGTGTCATGTGTATGACAAGGTATACTATGTATACCAAACTTGACACAATGCATCATATCAGAGCTGAAGTCAGCAACTATTTATTTTTGTTTTGTTTTTGTTTCATGCCTAGGCGATTTCAAAAGCCAGGCACCGGACTCTCCCTAGAGAGGGCCACATATGTGTTTGCGACTCAATGTTTATTTACGGCTTTAGACACTCTATTAATGTGACTCCTCAAATCCTTCAATGGAATGCACGTGGACTTATCGGAAAATGGGCCGAAGCAAAGCCACTATTCACGCAAGGGCAATTTAAGGTTCTGTGTCTGCAGGAGACCCATTTCCTGGCAGACGATATATATGATTTCAATTTACCACGATTTACGAAATATAGCAGCTTTTCTCCCAATGGAGATCGACGAGGTGGAGTGACAATTTATGTTACCAATGATGTACCACATTTTCAGCTGAATTTACAGAGCTCCCTTCAGGCAGTGGCCTGTGCAGCAAGATTGAACAATAGAAGAATCACTTTTTGTTCCTTGTACCTTCCCCCAACATACAACTTCACATTGCAAGAGCTCACAGATCTCATTGATGAACTACCTAGACCGTTCATCTTATGCACTGATGCTAACAGCAAGCACCTGATGTGGGGTGCCCCTCATTGTGACAGAAGAGGGATTTTATGGTTAGATGTTATCAATCACTTTGGTCTTCGTATTCTCAATGATGGACAGCCAACACGATTAGACGAAGCCTCGGGGGAGGTTTCCCACATTGATCTTACACTTGCATCAAGCGATATAGCGCACATTATAGATTGGAACACTGACAAAGACCTCCGTGGCAGTGATCATTTTCCAATTTACCTGAGCCTTATTGATGCTATGCAAGGTTTCATTGATCTCCCAACCTTGTTTTCAGGCTGGAACATGAAAAAAGCAAACTGGACTGAATTCCAGACCCAATGTGCCTTTCATTTTGACGATGACATGGGTATCGACAATTATGACGCTATCACCAACGCTATTATTGAAAATGCCCAAAAGTTTATACCGTCTAGAAACGGAAATGGAAAATACCATTGTCCATGGTGGAATGATGGATGCAAAGAGGCGATTCGGGATCGACGAAGAGCTCAAAACAGGATGAGGAGGGATCCTCACTCTGTTTTCCTTCGAATCGAGTATAGGAAACAAAAGGCGAAAACGAGACGTGTGCTTAAGGACGCACAGAAGAGCGCTGTTCGGCAGCCGGCTATTTTGTGTGCAGGGTATGACGTATTTCACGAGCCGACGTCACAGGCGGTGACGTCGGCTCGCGCGCGAGCCGAGCGCCAACGACAAACTAACGGGAACCCTCGGACACCCTCGGGGCATAAACCGCGGAGTAGCATATTGAGCGAGTCTTATAAGGAAAATTCACATATTTTCGTTTCTCAAATGATAATCAGGGTGTCTCTTACCTTTTTACATATCATTTAGGCTTACCTAACACTTCAGTTGCCAAATATCTGCAATTTATTCTAGCGAAGGTATTATCAGTTAATATCAATGCTATAGACCGAAATCTTTTGAATAAAAACTCCAATCAACAGAAATAAAAATAACTTAATTTATTCCAACCATTTCCTCCACATAAACAACGTAAAAACTCACTTTTACACACATCATTCATAATAAAGCATACTAACACGCCACTTTAGACAATTGCGGCGTCGAGTGGCGCGCTGCTAGCGCTCTTTTTCGATCGCAGAGACCCTGCACGCACGCGAGCACACTACGTCACGTCCGGGGGGCACAGGTATATGAAAAATCGCAGTGACGTAACACTTTTCTCGCTTCTCATTGGTCAATAGCCCGTTGCCGGGGTAACGTGCACGTATGTGAGCGCGGGCAAGAGTACTAGCCGGCCGCCGATCAGGGCTAAGGCCTCATGGCACGAACTTTTATCGATTTTTAACCACCGCACCCCAATGAACAGGTTATGGGAAATATTGCGCCGGTTTACACATAAAACCAGAACAATGCGACCTTTCCCTGTACTTAGTGTTCAAGGGGGAGGTCTTGTCGATGAACCTCTTGCTGTTGCCAACATGTTCGGAGAGTTCTTTTCGAATATGAGTGCTAGAACGAACTATTCTGACAGCTTTTTAGCTCACGAGTACGAGCTCCGTGAAAACTTACCAGATTTTGACGACGATAACCACGAAGAGTACAACCAACCCTTCTCGATGCGAGAACTCATGAGTGCCATTAAACACTCTGGGTCGACGGCTGTTGGGCCGGACCAGATCCACTATGACTTTTTCAGACATATGCACGAATCCCAGATTGGAGAACTACTGACATTGTTTAACTTTATATGGACGAATGATGTTTTCCCGAACTCATGGAAACATTCGTTCATAGTCCCGATACTTAAACCGGGGAAAGATTGCAACAAAGTGGAATCCTACAGGCCAATACAGTTGACTTCTTGCATGTGCAAGCTGCTTGAGCGAATGATTGCCAAACGACTGAGCTGGTGTTTGGAACGACATGATTTGTTGTCGACCTACCAATGTGCCTTTCGTCCAGGGAAATCAACGGTTGATCACCTGGTACGAATCGACTCGCATGTTCGTGACGGTTTTTTGCATCACTGCAGCACCCTAGGAGTTTTCCTGGATATAAAGTCGGCCTACAATATGGTTTCACCGACCGTGGTACTTCACAGAATGTACCAAATTGGTTTCCGAGGTCACCTGATGCATTTTGTGAATAATTACCTTACGAACAGAACCTTCCAGGTACGGTGTGGAGTTTTATCAGATGTGTATCAACAGGACTATGGTGTGGTTCAAGGAGGAGTCATTTCACCTCTACTGTTTAATATTGCGATTGACTCTCTGTCTGACCGAATTCCACGACACGTCTCGCTAGCTATATACGCTGACGACTGTACTATCTGGTCTCAGGGACGCTCAATTGAGAACATCTCCATACTGATACAGCAGGCCTTGAACTGTATAGGGGAATGGGCCAACGAGAATGGGTTTACGTTTTCAGCACATAAGTCCAAGGCTATACTATTCCGCCGAGGGCTTCGACGAGTGGATGCCAATTTACCACCGCTGATGCTGAACAATGACTGTATTCCCCTGGTACAGCAAGTGAAATATTTAGGGATGATACTCGATTCTCGTCTGAATCTATCCACACACATGGAATATACGAAAGGCAAAGCGATTAAGAGAATTGCTATCATGAAAAGCATCGCTGGAAAAAGATTTGGCGCAGACCGAGCGACTCTACTCAGACTGTACTCGACGCTTGTCCGACCTATCCTCGAATATGGATCACACATCCTTGATGGGGCTGGCCACAGTAAAAGCAAGGCGTTAGAAACTACAAAACATGTGTCTCCGCATAGCAACAGGAGCGTTACGCACTTCTCCGGTAAAAGCCATGCAGGTTGATACCCATGTGTTTCCACTCGAACTGAGACGACAAGGCCTACTCCTCAGGTATTATTTAAAGATGGTGAGCGACAACCGACATCAGAACTACTCACTGATGTCCACAGTCTCCACTGATCAAACATACGAGGATGTTTCCGAGACATACATGCAAAGAATCGCTGGGATGCCCCTTAAATTCCGGCTGAAGCGGTTATTCTCCTCCATGCAGTTTCTCCCACCTGGTAATATCACCAAACCTGAAGGGAATATTCCACCATGGTTGCTTACTGAGATTGATGCTGTCATGTTGACGGAGAATAAACGAGCAATGACAGACGCTGATGTCCAGACGGCTTTCCATGAACTTATCGCCACTTACCCTGGTTACAGGATATTCTTTACCGATGGCTCTAAAACGGACACGTCAGTCGGTTGTGCCTTCACATTGAACAATGCCTTTTTTTCTTTTAAGCTTCCTGGTGAAGCCTCCATATATACTGCCGAACTGTTCGCAATCCTCGCAGCAATGGAATATATCCGAGACAACCGAGTGCAACGAGCCGTCGTTTGCACCGACTCTCAGTCTGCGGTCATAGCGCTGACCTCACAAAGTCGGGAGCATCGTCTACTGGTAGATATATTAGAGCTGTACCACATAAACTGGCGAGACGGACTTCTTTGCACGGTGGTCTGGATCCCAGGACATAGAGGGATTTCTGGCAATGTTCGTGCTGATTACTGGGCAAAGAAGGCACACCAAAAAGACCGAACCACTCCGGTCAAAATGAGTTACAGAGAACACATTCCTCGTGTGACGGAATGCATCTCAAAGAGATTCGCCAAAGAGTGGGAAGAGTATAGATCAACCCAACTCAAACAAATTAAGCCACTCACCGGACATTGGAAGTCCTGTCACCGCAAAAATCGTACAGAGGAGGTGATACTGTGCCGACTGAGGTTGGGACACACCGTTCTTACTCACTCTTATATTATGGATCACACTCTTCCACCGATATGCGACACATGTGATGATGACTTGGATGTTTCACATCTTCTTCTTGATTGTCGACGTTTTTCCACTAAGAGACAGAGTCTGAGAACGATCTGTCGAATGGCTCGTGTTCCTATGAGTCTAAACACATTGCTAGGTGATAAGGACATCACCATCATAGACGCGCTGTTTCTTTTTCTCCAACAGTGCAATCTCATCAACAAATTGTAGAGCGTTCTCCAATCTCCAGTCCAATCTTACTTTCCTCTATGCATCGACTTCTGCACGGATTGTTTATTTGTGATTGCTCAACTCGTTTTTTCACATTCATTTGTCTGTGTTGATCATTTGTACATGCAGCCTTTGGCATGTACATCCTCTGTCACACCTGCTCTTGGATAAACGGATTAAGCGGCGCATTGTTTTGTTTCTCTCTGCGCGATGATTCTCTCTTTTATTTGCTTACCTCACTGTGCTCAAAATATGCTGTTCGTATGCTCCCCATCCATACGTTGATCGACATTCGACACCCACGACTGGATGCCCTGTACATGACTTCCTTCAGGGTACCTACCAACTATGTGTGCACGGTGGCGTGGACAAGATGTGATTGATTGTGACTTGCGAGTGCTCTATCTGACACCGATGTGATTGCTCGTTACCCGCACGCTGCACCACAGCTGTGTCTGTGACGATTGTTACGAGATGTTACTTGACTTCCTCCGATCGTTGTGTAACTGACCCATGTATGACCTAAGTAGTGTCGTTTAGTTAGTGCCTATCTGACCGAACTTTGCTCTCTCCCGCTTTTAGCAATCTTAACTAGTAGATTACATCAGATCAAAGTTGTGTGAACTAACAAGATTAATATAAAGTAGAAGAGGAAATAACTTAACATTAACTTTACCTTGCCCTTCTCCACGAAAAGTCCTTGCATACCCTTTCCCAGCTATACCGCATCCTTCAGAGCCTTGCTTAGTGACCCTGCTTAGTTTCCCAAAAGCAAAATCGCCTATCAGCGATACAAGACGAGACACCGAGTGAGAGAAGAAAGAAGATGGACGCTTGAGCCCTGGCAGCTACGCGCCCTAATCCAACAAGAACAAGAACAAGAGAACAAGAAAGGCGCTTGAGTGCTTGAGAGACGGCTGGGGCCAAGATTACTTTACAAGATTGCTTTACTGAGCGGGTTGGGGTAAAAACGCTGAACTCTAAGCACCTGTGAGTAAAAAAATAAAAATTGTCGCTATAGCTGCAAGGTATTTAAAACACTTATCGTTGCGGTACTATAGTCGCCTTGCTATAAGTCTTATATCGAAGCTTTATTGATATAGACCAATGTATGAATTCCTATATTGATATCAATATACTCTGCAAAAATGCCAGTACCTGATTCACTGCCTTGGATTCACCTGTAACTTGTAAAATTGAAGCAAAAACCAATTGTATCGTAAATATGGGCATGGGTTTTTAAAGGGACTGGGACCCTCCAATCCAATCTGCAAAAAGGTCAATGAATTGGCCTAAAAGCAATGTCCTCGGTAGGATGTTGGATTAGGTAAGATTTGGTTCGATTTTATTAGTTCAGATTACATAGAATAAAACTCATCAGAATGTAATCAACCACAATGATATTCGTGCTGTGATGGTGATTATCTTCGGTGCACGATTGCCTGCGCTATTCTTATATGGAACTGCATGTGCTGCTGTCTTGTCTCCTGGACTTACAAGCGTCTTCTGTGTCGGCGAAAGCCTTGCCTAATGCCCGCCCCTCCCTCCGTATCGGCAGCGGGTGGAGCCGGCCTGAGTCTGGAGTTGAGAGACGTCCAGACGTCCGACTGCCTATCAGACGAGAGCAGGCGTTCCTGTCAGCCCCCGCCGTGAGAGGGTGAGAGGGGAGACGAGAGAGCGAAAGGGAGAGAGACAGAGACAGAGAATGGGAGAGAAAGATAGAGAGAGGGGGCACAGAGTGCCGCGCTGACTGGGCAGCTTCCTTGTGAAACTAGAATAAGGGTGACTATCTTTTGTGCTCAGCGCTATGACCTGAAAACTAAAATTATATAAATGTGATTTGTGCTTTATTGCGATGCTACTTCATCATTTTATATGATTTATTAACTTGACACATAATCTCAATTTGCTTGTTAACCCGCGAGTTGCTGGGGGGGGGGGGGGCGTTAAACGCCCCCACTTTTTTCGCCGGGCCATAGCATAAAAATGGCGCGCCGCAGGCGCGCCAAATTTTGGGTACCTGTAGGGAATTGATTGAAGTTTATTGTGACAAAGTTTCAAAAAAATCGGTCGGAAAATTTTTGAGATATCGAGGTTTTAGTGACGTCATGATTTCTGAGTTTTCGACCAAAAACGGCATATGTTCAAAAAATCATATAAAATCACAGAATAGAGATACAGACATGCCGTAAACGCCATTAGAATGCCAATACCATGAACAATCAAATGGCTATCTTCGATTATTGATTATCGTTCCGCATTTTCCAAAATCTTGAACTGAATCTTGACAATTTCTCGTGACTACTTCACGACCATGATACATGAATTTCTTAAATTGAGCTTTTTGAGCCAAACACGTACACATATGATAAAATGAATGTCACCATCGTGTTCTACGGCCCAAATTACCCACAAAACATGTGTCATAGGCTGCAAATAACAGTTTTGATTTTCGGGGATATGTGCCTACCCGGTTGACCTGACCTTGACCCTGACCTGACCTATGCTTGACTGACCCCTACATGAAACTGACACTCTTGTAGGCCTTATATGATGGATTGTGCACCGTTTTGACAGAGTTTCTGACGAGAGGCGCCCATTGCGAAGTCCTGAAGTCCATGCTACTGAAAGCCTGATTTCAGGTGTTTGACCTGACCTTGACCCGACCTGTGACCTCAAAATTCAACTTTAAAGTACTCATCTGAAGCGTCTCGTCGCGTTCTTTCGTTTGCCGCCTCGTGCGTTTCGCTGCGCCTATTGGTTCTCGAGTTATCGGCTGGGGGCGTTTAACGCCCCCCCCCCCCCCCAGCAAACGGTGGGTGGCGAAACACCCCAGCAACTGCCGGGTTAATGCTCTGGCACACTGTCCGATGTGATGTGGGGCTGGAGGTCAGTGGAGGTCGACCGCCCTGACCCCGGCTGGAGGTCAGCTTGTCACGGCAGCGTTGTATACTGTCCCAGTGAGAATTATCCCACCCCAATCCAACTCAGCCCAGCCCAGCCCATTGGAGAATGATGACAAGAGTATCGGATCCACCGGCCGTGTCGCGCCGCCCGCCCTCGGATAGGCAGGCTTGTTTGGTTGACGCGGCCGGTCTCTTGGTCGGAGCCGGTCGCTAACGTAAAGCTCTAGTTAACTCACTGTATGTCTGTGCGTGTGACTGACTCAGAGGGGATCGGACGCCCGTAGCGGCGGAGGACGAAAGCGAAGTGCAGCCGAGGCGCCGCTCTGGCGGCCGCTGACGACACGCCTGCCCCGGTGTGAGTGAGTGTGTGACTGCGCTGCAGTAGGGTAGGGGCGGCGGCGGCGCGGCGCGGCGCGGTGGGCCGGCGGCTCGCGGGCGGCCGGCGGCTGAGGCCGTCAGTGGCGGTGTCTCGCCACCGTCCGTCCGTGTCTCTGACTCAATTGTCTGGGCCCGGCGCCGACCGGAGCTCAGCAGCGCCCGTCTCTGACGGCCCGCTCCCGGCAGGGGCGGAGAGCTGACTGACGGTGACGTCCAGAGGTGGTCGCAGTACCGCGCCACCGGCAGCCCGGGGCGGCCTCAGGCGGCCTGCTGCGGCCGCCAGCACCGACAGTCGACAGAGACCAACCTGCACCCGGCACGTAGTCATCCGTGAGTTGCCCAGCAGGCTCGTTAAGACTGTGCGCGGCACACTACACCTTTTTGCATTTGAATTCAACTATTCGCCATAACTGTTTAAGGAGCCATTTTGACAATCGGCATTGAACGCAACTATTCCAGCGTTGTGTGTTTCATTTCAGCCATTCAGCAAAGCAGATTGAACACTGAAATGAGCGATCTACAAAATAGTTTGACACGTCGCTAGACTTCGGCATTGAGCGAGCCAGCTCGGTATGACGAATAGTTTCGACCATCGACGATTTGTTTTGCACAATGCTGAACCATTCGCTCAATGTCGAGTTGTGGAGGAAGACCGCCGAATAGTTTTGCACAATGATTCTTTGTGACCAACCGCCCATTTGTAGCGCCACCTATATGGCGAATGTGTACAAATGTTTTGCCCAATGGTCAGATTCTAACGCAAAAAAAGGTGTAGGTTCTAAGTAAGCAGTCCAAGATTTCCGAGTTTTGGGGGTCCCCACCTAACTTGCAGTTTGCTGCAGCACTGCTCCTACCCGTTTGCAACACGCCTGATAACAATTATTGATGCTCTCCCCCCCCATATTTATCAAATCAATGAATTTTTTAGAATGGTCAGTTATTTTTGTTTTGTTTTTCAGATAAGGGTTCTTCTGTCTTCAATGCAGCGCTGGATACTAGGTGCTGAATAAGTGTTTTGACAGCTTTGTGCAGTCCTAAGCACCGCCCTGAAGAACCATGTCAGGAAGCGATCTGGATAGGTTTATGCTGGCCTGCTCCGACCTCAATCAGCCAGCCAAATCACGGCTCTTTCAGAATCGTCCTGGACTCAAGGATATCAAGGTAAGTTGACCTGAGTTGCTCCCATGCATCAGTTGTCGCCTTGGGCTGATTGAATGATGCTTGAATGGGCTGATGGAGCACCTATATAATTTGTGCATAATTAAATGCCTATTTTAAAGGTATCTGAGTGCACTTGCAGTGTGAGATCTGTTAACTCAGCCGAGTTTACCCACAGGTATCATGTAGCAACCCGTATCCATGGTCTTTCTGCTGTGTGGACATTAAGCATTATTGCAGTTCCTGGTTTACATAAGGCTGTTTGACGATAGTCCGTGTTTCAGGTGCAGTCGCGACCGACCACGCAACCAGCGAGTTTCCAGACGAGTGTCAAGGCCCGCGACTGGTCGCAGCTGGATTTGGGGGACGCCTTTAGCCAGGCGGCACCGCCACAGCCGGCGCCGTCTCTGTCACCAGCGGCAGCCCCACAATCGGTACGTCCGGATGAAATCCTTCGGTTTGTGCCTTTTTATGCAACAATGCATTGTAGTAGTCAATTTTATAGTTGCGTTGTCCAGTTTTGCGTGATAACATCCTGTGCATCCATTTGTGATTTTCCTTTTTCCGTTTACAGGTCGATGTGAAAGCCGACTCTGACTGGGACGAGTTCGATGAGTTCCAGAGCTGCCCGCCACCTCCGGCGCCGGCGCTCTCCGCGCCGCTGTTAGCCCCGACCTCGCTGACTGGCTCGTCCGCCCTGGCGACCGCCTTTCTGCCCCCGGCAGCCGGCCTCAGTCAGAATGTACTCCAGAGCGGCCCGGTACCCAGCGACTTTGTCGCGCCGCCCAGCGCCGGGACTGGCTGGCCGCCGCAGGCGGAGCCCGTGGCAGCCGCCGCGTACACCCCTGTACCGGCCGTGCAACCTGCTGCCAAGCCCACACGATTTAGACAGGGCCTTGTTCCGTTTAACGCCTACCCCAAGCACGATGGATCGCTGCTGGACCAGTCGCCCGTGGCTGAAGAAAGCGCCCCTTCACCGTACGACGGGCGACGAGGGATCTACACTCAGGAAAAGGAGATTCGGCGTCTGCCGACGTCAGAGAGTTTACCGCCTTCCGGCGCTGCTGTCGATCAGCTGTTCGCCCAGAGTTGGTCACCTTTGACTTCAAATACTTCGAACAACACTGGACAGGGCTGGAACGAACCTGTCGCAATTGGAACACCGAACCTACTGGAGCTGGAGACACCCTCAAATCTGCCGCCTAGCGTCAGTTCTAATCAGAGCAACCCAGTCGCTGCCCCAGCCCCCAGTTTGGATGTTTTTGCTGGTTCCCAGGCTCCGGCGCCGGACAGCTTTTCGGCGCCGCTGGTGCCACTGCAGCTGGATCTGGGCGGTGTGTCGGTGTCGACCAAGCCCGAGGAGGCCGCTGACGAGGACTTTGGCGAGTTTGTGTCTGTGGAGCGTCCGTCGGCGAGCGGCGCGTCAAGTCGACACGGCTCGCTGCCCAGCCTGGACCTGCAGGTGGCGCCGGCGGCCGAGGCCGGTGAGGTGTCGCCACTGGAGCCGGACAGACGCGATACCGACGGAGAGCCGGCGGCCGCCAAGCCGGACAAATACGACAGCATCCGACAGGAGGTGGTGAGTAATGGCTGAGAGGCCGCTTTAACCAAACATAAAACATTGCCGACTGGTTTACTGATTGGTATGTTGTATTTGTCAACCGACGATGACACGCCAGCAGGAATATTGAATTTCGATACGCCTAGCTCATACAGTAATGGTTACAGCTCATGTAACCGAGGGAATTTCTTTTAGAGGAATTGGGTGAAACAGAGGACTCAGTAGCCGCTGATCTCGGCTTTTTCGGTGTATGTGCTCAGTTTCGTTCAAGTCATGTCAGATTCAAGTTTGGATTCGATTATGCTGTGAACACAAAATCGATATTGTCCCTCCTAGACTTATGACAAAATGGCTCTGAAAGAGTCGTCAGCACTGCGTGACATTGTTATTACGAGCGAGCGAGCGCAGCGAGCGAAGTGAGTCTTTTCAATATAACGGAAAAATCTCAGTATGAGCGGCCCGGCCCGGCCCGGCCCGGCCCGGCCTGTAACGCTTTTGAGAGGCTTATATCTCAGCAACCGCTGGACCGATTGGCCTGCGGTCTTTTTTGCTGGGTAGCCCCATCCCTTCTACCCCGTAATTGACTACTTTTGATACATCTCAGTGACCGTTTTGGCACGTGTCACGTGAAAAGTCAAGGGTGTTCAAGCTGTTTTGCAAAAGTAGGGGAGGGTGGGGCACATTCGTGCAAAAAATGGATGAATTCATATATCTGTTCTTTGGTTAGTGCAAAGGCAAAATTGTTGATTGTAGTATGGAAAGGAACTATTGCACATATTTTTCCTCTTTAAAACTTATCCTCTAAAGTTACCGCTTCTATTAGAAAAAATGACTTTTAATAACTCTTAACGTTTGCACGAAACTGCCCCAGGTATGGGGCACATTCGTGCATGGGGTGGGGCACTTCCGTGCACCCTGCAAAATTAAATGAATTACCGGGCATTGCCAGAAATTTACCAAAAGAAATGGGCAGGGGGTCATTTTACTTGATTCCTTTCCACAAGAATGCATTGCACAACGTATGTAGAAAGAATTGGCTGACCAACAAGAATGTGCCAACCGCCGGCCATCGACCCGCCTCCGTGACCTCTCCAAGGGTCACGTGAATTACTTGTAACGACGTCGCAAGCAGCCGAGACTGAGTCAGGCGAGCGTCGCTACTACAGATAAAGTCATAAATCGCAAAAACGAAAAAAATATGCAGGAATGTGCCCCTAGGCAGTGCGTGCACGAACCTGCCCCACAACACTATTTGTAATATAATTCAAAATTTCTTATTGAAAAAATGACAGTTTTCAACAAACAAGTTTGCAGCAGTTCCGTGAATAGAGTGAGCTTCTTCGGACCCAATTTTGAATTATTTTGTTTTTCAATTTCAATTTATTTTGCTCCACTAAATACCACATGGTGGGCTGTCACACCGGGAACCTTCCACTTTCCCTCCGAAACGAGCTAAGAGGTTGACGTGAAGACGTCATAGACGGGGTTTTGAGACGTGATAGACGTGACACGACGACATAAAAATGACGCATCAAAGTGACTATACGTTCATGCAACTTATACCTAGCGAATATGTGAAACAAATTTCAGGAGTGTCGCCATTGCGTTTTTTTCCATTGGAATAATTTACACGTCATTTTTTGAAGGAGGCGCCTAGCCCCTTCATGGGTAGCACTGCACCCCGTTTTTTAGGACATTTACCCATGAGCACCTCTTTGAAGTATCTCCACATGTTTTACGTACCCACAGTCGCATTTGGGCGAGGTGAATGACTCAGCTCGTTAATTCTGTGAGTCCCCCTCCCCCACTCCACAAATGGCTTCTCACCAGGCACCCGTTACAGACACGAACGCCCCTTCAGAGGGGCGATTTGTGTTTCAATGTTTACACTCATGAAAACCATGCCGACCTCCGAGCATGGTAGGCCCACTCGAATGTGAATGCTCCCGGCTTGTTGGTACAATGACCAAATTCAAGCTGGCGTGTTCTATGTTACATTGCACTTTGCACGTCAGTGTTGATTAACCCTCGCTTGGCGGGGGAGGTTGATGCAACCTCCATAAGGTTTTTCGTACGTAGCGGAAATGGCGGCGCGTAGGGCCGCCAAATTTGGCATATCCTATGGGGCATCCTTTAAGCACATTTTCTGAAAATTTCCTGCTTCAGTCCTGTCAGGCCATGTCACCAGGCCCCGAAATTGGTACGTTGCCAGGTTAAAATTTAAATAATAACAATATCAGAATAACACACACAGCCTTTTTGCAAATTGCGTAAACACGGTGGACGTAGCACCACTAAATTTCTGACACTTTTTAGGGCATCTATCTGACACATGTCTCGAGTATTTTTTTGTCCAGGTGACCTCAGGTCAGGTCACCAGGTCACGAAAACCCGTAAATCGTCAAATTAAGACCGAAATCACACTTATTTCACGTGTTTTAGCGATTTTTTTAAATTTATTCCTCCAAAATTCCAAATATTGACCTGAACTCACCAAACTTGTACGGACGTGAGAACTTTAGCGGGTCCCCTGTAATGCGTGGTTCACACCGGATCCGTAATGACGCCGTAACCGTTACGGACGTAATGAGCTAGAGATTTCTCAAGATTCCCCAAGCATTGTGACTTTTGTAGACGAAGTTGAAATGTGGCAACCAGTCGCCGTAAACTGGCAGCGTCCACCGTACTCGTTACGGAACGTAACAGAAGTTGGGAAAATTGAACTTTTCGGCTCGACCGGCCGCCGTAATGACTTTTATCGACATGTATCTCCAAAACGGTTTGACTGTTTGATGAGCGGTCTTCTTTGGGGAGGGGCTGCATCCTTTCTACCCTGAACTGTGCTATTGATATCACTCATGTGTGCCTGTTACAGCACGTGTCACGTGTACAGCACGTGTCACGTGCGACGAGAGAGGTTCCAAAAGAGCTCGTCATACCATAACTCGGGAACGGCTGAATGGAAACGGTTCAATATTTGTTTGTTGTTTTGGCTGGGTGCACACTACACATCCCGTGACCTTAGGACGATTTCGAATTGCCTCAGCGCGTGCGCACGTGCGCACCCCTTTTTCACATCTCGGGATTGGCTGTGCCAATCGCACCCATATTTGGTATGGTGAGTGACATCATGTTCATATGCAAATTGCACAGGTTGACAAAAGCATTGATCTGCACGTGCGCACGTGCGTGCCCCTTTTTCATATCTGGGGATCGGCTGGGCCGATCGCGTTCATATTTGGTGTGCTGAATGACACCATGTACATATGAAGATTGAACAGATCGGCAAAGGCATTGGTCTGCACGTGCGCGCGTGCGTACCCCTTTTTGGCATCTTGGGATCGGCTGGGCCGATAGCGCTCATAATAAGTATGCTGAATGACACCAAGTTTATTTGTAGATTGCACAGGTCAGCAAAAGCATTGATCTGCACGTGCGCACGTGCGCACCCCTTTTTCATATCTGGGGATCGGATGGGCCGAAAGTGCTTATATCAAGCATGCTGAATGATAACATGCTTATATGTAGAATTCACAAGTCGGCAAAGGTATTGATCGGCACGTGCGCACGTGCGCACCCCTTTTTCATATCTCGGGATCGGCTGGGCCGATAGCGCTCACATTTGGACTTTGGTATGCTGAATGACACTACGCATATAAAGTATGCAGATTGCAAAGGTCAGCGAGAGTATTGGTCGGCACATGCGCACGTGCCCACCCCTTCTCACATGTTGCGATTGATTGGGCTGGTCTGGGTAGCGGGTAGCGGTCTGCTCGTGTGCAAGTGCGGACCTTTCTACTTGAAAAATCGTATCAACTCGCCGACTGATTTTTAGGCATTATTTCATGTAGGTATGCCTTCAGTATGTCACAACCTACTATGTATCTCTTGAGTGACGTACATAAAATTCATGTTCCGTAATTACATTTCACTCGTTTATTTAAAGATGACATTTCCTTCGTAGGCCTAGCCTAGCCCTAATCATGTAGGTATGCTACAAGTCAAGTTCAAAGTCCACAAAATAAATTCCAATGCATAGATTCTCGTGCCACGTCTTTTATGCAGTTCTGAGTCAACTTCGCTGCCCATATTGCCCCTGCTAGACTTGATGCTTGGACGGACACTGCACCGCCTCTTCGCAAGCCAATTGAGCAAACTGTACGATGCGTACGTTGATCTTGCCCATGGATAGCAGCCATTCACGAGTGCAGAAAATGAACTTCAGCGTTGACCAGCATGGGCATGTTTTCTTGTTTATGCCAAAAAAGGATAACAGATTCTCTGTATAGTATCATGCCCACAATTGTAGTTAATTAACAATGATATGCCTCCATAAAATTATAAACCACTATGCAAAAGTGATAGGAATAAATTTAAGAAAAAGTTAGCAAAACCAATTAAAATTCTGACGCACCGATATTAAGAACAGCTCTTAGCTTTAGCCCATTTTTCGATTGTTTATAAGCAAAACAGTTTTGGCGCACTTGATTCGAAGGACGGCGCTCAACGCAATTCCCGGTGCACACCGAATCCGTAACGAATACGGCGTTACGTCGCCAAAAAATTGAACTACGCATGCGCGTTTTGTGCCCTCCACTTTCAAGATATTATTTAATCGCCGACGCATTCATTACGGCACGTAACGGTCATTACGGATCCGGTGTGAACCACGCATTAAACCACATTTCCGAGTCAGGATCACGAAAATGGATGATATGAGAAAAGTTTGGAAAGCCCACGAATATGACAAATTTGCGTTTTTATCAAGCATGACATCAGGTACAGTGTTGTCTCCTACAGTGAACGAAGGGCGGCAATGATAGACATATTTTCATAATTTACCTTTAGCTCGTGCAGTCACTCGTGTTCCCATAAATTGCTGAAAACGAATGTGCCCCATGCACGAATGTGCCCCACTCTCCCCTAGTGATTTTGAGAGGCTCATATCTCAGCAGCCGCTTGGGCGATTGACTTGCGGTAGTTTTTGTAGGGTAGCAGCATCCCTTCTACCAAAAATAGGATACTCTCGATGCATGTGGGTCACCCCCAGTGCACGTGCAAAATACAACAATAAGAGGTGTCAAATTTGTTCCCATTTTAATAACTTGGTAATTACTGGGGCGATTTCGATGAAACTTGGCACAAAGGTAGGCACCCACCAGGCAATGCATTCCCATGTGTGGCGGTTAAGGTGCTACTGCACGTGCGCACGTGCAGGGGGCGCTTCCAGATATCGAGAACGGCTGAGCCGATTGCGCTCAAATTTGGTACACGGTTGGGGACCAGTTAGTAAGGTGCCGTGCAAAAGTCAGTTTGGACCCCGTTCGCACGTGCGCACGTGCAGAATGCCGCTTCCAGATCTCAGGAACGGCCAGGCCGATTGCGTTCAAATTTGGTACACCGCTAGCGACCGGTTAGAAGGGTGCTTTGCGCGAGCCCTTTGGAAGCACCCTCTCGCCCTTCCGCACGTGCAGGGCTCACTATCTCGCTCGCTCGTTCTTCGCACAAAAGGCGTTTTACTGGTTTGTTAGCATTATGTGTGCAATTTTGTTACGAGCGAGCGAGCGCAGCGAGCGAAGCGAAGTCTTTTCAATATAACGGAAAAATCTCAGTATGAGCGGCCCGGCCCGGCCTGTAACGCTTTTGAGAGGCTTATATCTCAGCAACCGCTGGACCGAATGGCCTGCGGTCTTTTTTGCTGGGTAGCCCCATCCCTTCTACCCCGTAATTGACTACTTTTGATACATCTCAGTGACCGCCGTGGCACGTGCCACGTGAAAAGTCAAGGGTGTTCAAGCAGTTTTGCAAAAGTAGTGATTTTGAGAGGCCCATATCTCAGCAGCGGCTTGAGCGATTGTCTTGCGGTTATTTTTATAGGGTAGCTGCATCCCTTCTACCAAAGGTCGGATACTCTTCATCTATGTGAGTGACCCCCACTGCACGTGCAAAATACAACAATAAGAGGTGCCAAATTTGTTCCCATTTCAGTAACTCGGTAATTACTGGGGCGATTTCGCTGAAACTTGGCATACAGGTAGGCACCCACCAGGCAATGCATTCCCATGTGTTGCGGTTAGGGTGCTACTGCACGTGCGCACGTGCAGGGGGCGTTTCCAGATCTCGAGAACGGCTGGGCCGATTACGCTCAAATTTGGTACACGGTTGGGGACCGGTTAGTAGGGTGCCGTGCAAAAATCATTTTGGACCCCGTTTGCACGTGCGCACGTGCAGGATGCCGCTTCCAGATCTCAGGAACGGCTGGGCCGATTGCGTTCAAATTTGGTACACCGCTAGCGACCGGTTAGAAGGGTGCTTTGCGCAAGCCCGTTGGAAGTACCCTCTCGCCCTTCCGCACGTGCAGGGCTCACTATCTCGCTCGCTCGTTCTTCGCCCAAAAGGCGTTTTACTGGTAAGTATATTTATATTTCACAGTGGTTCCTGATGATCATGAGAATAACGTACCTACAGAAAGTATTTCCGATCGGGTGCAAAATGTGCGTCGCAGCGGCTTGTGTAAATGTGTAGCCTGCTGGGTCAAGACCGGTTGCGAATGTCCCCTGCGTTACCACGTCTGTTTGTGGTGCCGCCCCCAGATGAGCCCGCCGACGATGGCCCGGTCGGCGCTAGTGGCCGAGTGGCGCCGCTGTCTGCAGGCCTGCTACGAGCTCATTCAGGAGGGCGTGGCCCTGTTCGGCTCTGTGGACAGCCAGCGCACGTGCTCCGAGGTGGCTGGGTCACGCCAGGGGGCGCGCTATATGGACAGTGAGTACCGTACCGCTGAGCTCCGGGCTACCCAAGTGGACGGGGGATGGAAAGTTGCCGGACGGACATCTTGCCAAAAGAGCGTTCATGCGTTTTGGATTTCTGCAAAACGTCCCAGTTCCTATCGTGCTGACTCGTGCTCGTGTTACTTTGAACAGGGTGAGGGTGCGGGTCGATCGGGTGGCTAATGTAGATTGATTTAGTCAAGTACGACCTGCGCATAGTTTTTTCCCGCACAATGAGAAAAAATGCCATGCTGAACTGCATGTTGTGCTCGCTCTATGGTTGAGTTTTGACTTGCCGACACCGACCTGGAATGAACGGATAAGAAGACCGAGCGCACGGTTTGCTCTGCTGACAATGTCGGACATGTGCGGTTCAAATGTCAGCTTCGTGTCCAGCGTAACACCTACCAGTATGTTCAATAAGTAAGTTCCGTTTTGATATACTCGTTTGTTTTTTGGGCACATCTCAACCAAACATGGCCCACGGCTCGACGAACTACGCATCGTTCCCATCGCTTGGCCAAGTCCCGGATGACCGCACGGAAGCTTTGAGTGAGGGTCTTTTCGCCATACTGGTAAAAAGCAGACCCGAGTGCAGACCGGGAGCCGAACCTCCGGCCCCGGAAATTTTTCTTCATGTCTGCGAACATCCAATAGTCACTGCGTGCAACGTCTGGAGAGTAGGGATGGTGTTAGAGCACATCGATGCCCTCTGCCTGCAGGGCATCCCTCGCCACGAGGGCACGCACAGTGATGCAAATGGGGTTCACGAGTGGCCATAAATACGAAAAAGGCCCCAAATTCAAGTTCACTTAATCGAATTAATCGTAATATGGTCAGTCAGGCAAATGTTTGGGGTGTCTGAAAAAGCATGATTTTAATGTTTTTGTCAAAACTGGCCTCGTGTATGATTGTCAGAAGTCGAGACATTTTTGATGTCGTAAAATGACTGTCAGGTACTTGAAATTCAAGTGCCGCTAGCATGCGTTCATGTCATACAAACTGCAAAAATTATACATGAAAATGATCCCCGAAACCTGCTGCTTCTAATGCCACGTCATAAAAAGCCGTATCTATTTTGGTTTGGCGGTGAGCTAACTATTTGTAATCATGTTGCAACCGCAGTTTTTTACCAAAAATATTTGCTTTCAATTCACCTACAGCACTTCGCACAGTGTGTGCCCGTTAGTGCACCATATCATAGCATTCCCTAATCATTTCTGAGTCGCATAGTGAAAAAATTAAGGCGCTAGCACAGGGCTGACCGGCGCTACAGAAGTTTTCATCCGGCACGGTCTGGTGCCGCGGCGCAGCGGACGGCCCGGGCGGCCGCGCCGCCGCGCCGCCCGGACGCCGCGCGGCGGCACCCATCCGCCCACTGCGCGCCCACTGCGGCACCCGACCGCCCGGACAAAAACCTCTGTAGCGCCGGTCAGCCCTGTGCTAGCACCTTAATTCTTTCACGATGCGACTCAGAAATAATTGGGAAAGGCTATGGTATGGTGGACTAACGGGCACACACTGTGTTCAGTGCTGTAGGTGAAACGAAAGCATTTTTTTCTTAGTAAAAAACTGCGATTGCAACATGATGATAAATAGTCACATTACCGCCAAAGCGAATGAGATACGGCTATTTGTGACCCGTCATTAGAAGCAGAAGGCTTTGGAGATCATTCCCATGCATAATTTTTTTTTCAATTTGTACGAAATGAACGCAAACCAGCGGCGTTTGAACTTGCGAGTGTCTGACTGTCATTTTACGACCTAGAAAATGTCACGACTTCTGACGATTATACACGAGGCCGGTTTTGACAAAAACATGAAAACTGTGTGATTTCAGATGCCCCAAACATTTGTCTACTCGGCCATATCGCAATTAACTCGATTTGGTAAACTTGACTTTTGGGTATTTATGGCCACTCGTGAACCCCATTTGCATCACTGTGGCACGGTGAGGAGGCGCGCAATCCTGGTGGAGGATGAACCGACCACGGGCCTTCTCGGGGCGGCAACTGGCGATTACTAGCAGGAGATGGTCTCTAATGATCCTGGCGTAGGCTTATGTTTAGGCTTTCTGTTATCGCCTGGACAGTAATTTTTCTGTTGGCCATCACCATCTCCTCCACTTTGGCGACGTCAGTGGCTGTGACCATCGTCCTCAGCCTGCCTGCACGTGCCAGGTCGCGCACGCTCTCCCTCCCCTCCCCAAACTTTTTCTTCCGCTTCCGAACTGCGGAATCACTAAGAGCATGGCTCCCGTACACATTCACGAAGTTGGCTTTGAGTTGGCGTGGATGTCAGCCGCCGGCTAGCCCTGGATAGCTAGGAATCTTATCACTGAACGTTGGTCCTCCCCGGTGGCCGATGCCATTTCTAAAGCAGTCTAAAAAATGGTGTATTTTGATCTGCTCCATATCGTCACAGAAATGGAATAAGAAGCTGAAAATGCGGTCACTTCGACATAAAGGTCTGAATTCTAATCCCTGAAAAAATTACGTGCGTAGACCGCGTGAATTTTATGTAATTGCTCTCCGGAACTTACTTATTGAACGCACCTAGTATTTTTTTTTTGAGATATTGCGATTTTTATATTTCATCGTGACGTCACTTAGATCGGATCTGTGACGTAATGAAGGATTTACTTCATGCCAATGAGGGGGAAATTTGGCAGCAAATATATTTGCTTTCAAATATGACGCGGCTCATACAATAACAAAAGTGTCTCTGATAAGGCATTTTGTAGTTCTTCCAACTTAACGGGTGTCTACTAATTTTTGGCACAAAACTAAATGTCTTATAAATCACATATATTTTGCTCAAACGTCACCAAACTTCACACTTGGTTGGAAGCACTCATACTTAACGCTATCTGATCAGTGCAGGCTGCTGTTGACTCCTCGTCGCTCGGCACGGCGCACGCGCTCCGGGACCCTCTCCATCGTGGTGCGCGGCACCTCCTCTCGGATCGAACGAAGAACCCTCTGAATACGGTTCTTCAGCTGGACTTCTGATGCCGTTCTCCATCCGCCCTTGTAAACTTCCTGCTTGACGATGCCCCAGAAGTCCTCGATGGGGCGCAGCTGAGGCACGCAGGGCGGGTTTTCATCACGCGCAACAAACGGCACCCCAGCCTCCTCCAGAAGGGTGACCGTTTTCTTGGCATAGTGGGCCGCTGCCAGGTCTGGCCAAAAGATAAACCCACCATGAGGGTACTGTTCTCTCAAAAATGGGAAAAGTTTCTTCTGGAGACACTCTTGGCGGTAGAAGTCGCCCCCTACGTTGGTGCGGCTCGGGCAGATGACAGGGCTTGACACCCCCCTGGGAGAGATCGCCACCCAGACGAGAAGCTTTCTCGGGAACTTTCCCACAGGCCGGAATCTGACGTCATTCGGTACGTCTCCTCTAGGGCCAGCGTAGAAGCCGGAGTTTGCGGGCATATCACATCCTGAGAACGTAAAATAGCTCTCATCATCCATGACCACCTCCAGTTCGGCGTTCCTCGAGAACGACCCACGGGACAGCCGTCTTATCCGGGTCTTCTGCCGCTTTTCTTGCTCAGGAGTGACCTCGGGCACCTTGATCCCTTTCGTATACTTTATGTTGTTATCATGAAGGATTTTCGCCACATACTGATGAGATACGCCAAAACGCCGGGCCAGCACGCGCAGGGATGTTCCAACGCGTCCCTTGGCGGCATTCAAAAGAAGGCGCTTCTTCTGGGGCCCAAGTTTGGAGGGTTTTGCGCCAGCTTTCCCTTTACCGGCGTGCTTTCTGCTACCCCTTGTCTCAATGTTCTTTAATATACGGTAGGCAGTTTTTCTCGACACTCCTGCTACCTCCAGCCGTGACACAAGCTCGCTTTTTGGTAGGAAATGGTGTTCTTTGGCAAAATTGGCCACAAATTCACGAACCTGCGTTTTAGTCAAAGTCTCCATGATAAGTGAATATTGCACGAAAATAAAATAAAAATGTTGTGGCAAGTGCACAATTGTTAGGTCTTCATATGCAAATAATTTCAGTGACATTGGGTGACGTTAGTGTAAATAAAAATAAATCAAACTTTTGTGCCAAAAATTAGTAGACACCCGTTATTCGTAAAACAGGTTCTGGCGTTCAAACGGCTGATGACGTCATCAGAGCGCCGTTAATGGTGAAGAGATAGGGCCTTAGCTAAGGCCCACTTTTCAAATAAAGGGAACGAATTTCTTTAACACCACGAAGCTGAGGATATTGCGACCAGGATATAGGGGAAGCCGGGGGAAGCCCGGCATAGTAAGCTCTTTTTCATTTTTATTACATACCATACGTGCTGTATAAAATGTTGATATCCTGTTAGCTAGCTAAGTTCATTGGCCGTGTCTTCCCAAAAATTCGGTTTCGTGGAATAAGTATAAGGTTGAGAAAATCGAGTTTTAAAAAAGTGTTGATTTTTCTGGGGTAAGCCCGGCATAGGGGTAACGCCGGCCACCTCCCCAGCGCTTTACAACGAGTTGATGAAACCATTATGTGTCTTCCAAATATTAACGGAAAGTGAAATATTAAGGTACTGATTAGCTCTGGACATCTTAGAGTTTATGTCACTACTGGTATTTTAGCTAGCGTCTACCACATATACAGTACAGGTCGATGAAAATCGTGATGCAAAATTGACAAAAAATGTGTATTTCAAAACTCCTTAAAATTTATTTTTCTTTTTACCCTAATGCATCATATTGCATATCATTCGACTCGGCTGATGAAGAAGAACACAACGACACCATTTTTGAAGCTCTAGCTTCATTGTCTGTCGCGTTATCGGCCAAAACGTAGTTTGACCCTAGTTGACCTTAAGTGACATGACTGGCTTTGTCTATGATAACATGCTTATTTTCGAAATTTATCTTTGATCTAGGTGTAAACCAATTCTGCTCAGTAACTATTATCTCATGGAAAATAGTGGTTTAGTGGCATTGCTCTCGGTTGGGGGTAAGCTTGGCCACTCGCCCGGGGTTACCC